TGTTGGGACGACGTGTCCAGCCTCCCTGAAAGAAATAAAGACGTTATAAGAAATTTAAAATGTTAAATCAAACGTTTGCGCACATTCTGTGCATCATCAGGATTGAAATTTTTTACAATATTTACAAAACGATCAAAGATCTGAAAAATGAGAAACGTGTCTAAAAAGGCTCTAAAACTTTTTAACCAATCACATTTGAACAACTGTAATTACATAAAATAATTACGTAATCATGAATAACATTTTCCTGTAAATTTCTGAGATTTTTTTAAGTTTTTTGTTCTTTCTGGTTATAAAATTTCGATTTGGGAACAATTTTGATACTGACATGTTAGTTTTTTAAATTTTAGTAATGTCATACATTTTATTGTTAATTCCCGGCTCCTGAATTCATCGCGTGTGTTGATCTTCGGCCTCTCCCTCCAAATATGCAAAGCCTCTAGTGTCAGTAGCTTATGAGTGTTGGCTGTTTGGTCTATAATCTCTGACTTCAGCTCAGCAATACCGCCTACCTCCTTATTACATACTAACAAGTGTTGTCCTACTGGGGAGTCCCCTTTGCGGTGTTCATCGACCCTGGTGGCTAAATGTCGGACTGTCTGACCGACATAGGTGGAGTTACATCCACTACATGTAAGCTTGTACACCACTTTGAATCTCAGTTCACGAGCAAAGGAAGTTTTGAGGGATGGCAAGCATGTTTTCAATTTTCTTGTTGTAAAAATTATTTGCGCCCCGGATATTAGCCGAACCTTTGCAGCTAACAGTTGCGATGGATTGCCTCGATATTGCATTGTAAGAAGGGGTGGTGAGTCTTTCAACCATTTGTCATTTCTCGGTTCTGATGCCTTCACTTCTAAATTTTTCTTTCCCTCAATGATCTTGTTAAGAGTTTCAAATACTACCCTGTCAGACCAATTTTTTGGATATTGATTTTCAATCCATAGTTTCCGATTTTTTTCCAGTGCCTGGTCAAAATACTCCCATGTTGAGGTACTTCTGAAAACCCTATGAACCGTCCCTTCAATAACGTTTCTTTTGTACTGCAAAGGTGCGCAGCTTCTGAAATTTAGAATGGTGCCGGTATCAGTGGGTTTTTGGTACCAACCACATGTGACCTTTTTTGCTGAATCCACGTTGACATTTAAGTCCAAAAAGGCCAAATTACCGTTACTATCGAGTTCTTCTATGGTGAACTGCAAGTTTGGATGCAACTTATTGGCAGCCTCGAGAACTACCCCAGGATCGCCCTTGACCATCTAACTATGTCGTCCACATATCTTAGAAAAACTTTAACACCATTTACAGTCCGATCTGCTTCCCGTTGTTTTTTTGCAAATCATGCAATACCATACTGTTTCAGCGATGTCTGCGTATTCGGATTCCGATATGTTACCACACCCTAAGTGGTACCAATTCAAACAGACTTCGCATTCTACTCCTTTTGTCCAATTTGTCATCTTTTTCTGACATCTAGGGCACACTTCCTTGTTACCCTCACTTAGCACAGTCAATTTTGGTACTTCTTTCTTAAATGCAGGTTTGTATTCTTTGAGCCACAAATTAGCCAATATTACTGCAAGGGAGGCGCCCATTGTTAAACCGTCTTTTTGTACATACCACAAACCATTGCATTTAAAGTGTACCTTACTCACTACCAAATTTTGTAGTTTTTTCATAGTCTTGCGAGATGTTTCCGGAGTGTTGACTTGCTCATATAATCTCCTCAGGGCTATTTCAACCGCTTCATTGAGCGGGACATTAGTGTACAAACTCTTTACATCAAGGGAGATTATACTCTCGTCAGAGTCCAACTCAGTTTTCTCCAAGATCTCCCTGGCCATTTGAGTGTTCGTTTCTATGTTTGCCCCCTCAATTTCATCAATGTACTTTGCCAATGTTTTATTTAGGTTGTCATATGAGCTACCAGGTAAAAAAAGGACGGGACGAAGTGGTGTGCCTTGTTTGTGTAATTTTGCTAATCCATACAGTCTAGCTGGCTGCGCTCCCGTTGATCTCAAACTATTATACATCGCTTCGCTAATCTCGTCCTTCTTTTTCATGGCGAGTAATTCTTTGTTTAGTCTGTCAGATTCTTCCTCTCACTAAATTATTCTGCCTGTAATAAGTCTTTCAGTTTTTTCTCATATGTCTCCTTTTTCATTACACAAAAACCCACCCCCTTATCAAATGGCACTGCCAGAAGACCGTTGTCCTTCAAATCCTTTCTGGCTTTTTCAACACCTTTGTCAGAGGGGGTCTGTTTCACATTCTTAGCATATCTCTTTGCAGCTGCTTCAATCTCACATAATTTTTCTCCGTGTATTCTATTTAACTTCAGTTCAGACAAAAAACTATCAATGTCAGCAAGGAAGTGAACTTCATTGAATTTGTCTCGTACCGGATGTTTTGGTCCAAAACTTAAGACTTCATGCACCCAAAGCGGCAAAATCATTTCATCTAAAATTCTAACTGCCTTTTCATCCAAGATTTTTAATGGTCTATCCTATCTTTCCGAAAGTTTTTCAAACTTCCTCTTGTGTCAGCTTATCAGGTTATTGACACTATACCTTGCTTGCCGGTTCAGATAGAATATTACCGAAGGCCACCACTTCTCATCTATACCCCTTCTCAATACCTCTCTTGCTTTTACTAGGTTACCCGATGCCTTGGCCCTATCCGCATTTGCCTGGCTTAGCTCAGATCTTAAGAGTCTCAATTGGAAGCTGTGCACCGCTTGATCCGAAAAAACACCGTTATCAGGCACGCGAAACCGTAAAAAGTCTGGTATAATGTCGTTATCGAGACATTTTCTCAGAAATTTAATTCTCAGGAAACTGCTATTAAATTTATTAAAATATTTTAAATAATCTAATACAAGTTTCCAAGTGAGTTTTTTCTTCAGGACCATTCTAAGGAGTGGTGGTGGCAGCAAAATTGCGGTCATCTGTTCTTTGCAGGCCACGAGCACTTAAACTCATGTGGCACTCAGCAACGAAAAAACAGCCACAACAAAATCTTACCCCCTATTGGTCGTTTGGTTCCGACTGGAGGTCGCCAGCCAACACCTCCGCTCTCCGCGCCTTTGCCCTGCGGCGTCCCTGCGATGGTTTCTTGGTCTGGCCCCGTATCCTTGAGAAGATGCCTGGCAGGTGGTCTCGATGGGACTGCACCACCCGTAGTGACTTCAACTCCAATTCACTTGACTGGTGCAGTTGAAGATACCCTCTGAGGACCGCAGGATTCTGTCTCTTCCTTCTAGAGATAAAGCTACCAGTTGTTTTTATGACGATTATCTCTGTCTTCTGCAGATCCTCAAAAAAATCGGGAGTGCCCGTTCTCCTGCAGTAGACAATGCCACTAATTTGTCTTCGCTTTGATTGTAAATACGCCAGTAGTTCGTTAAGTGGGCAGGGCGTATATTTGTTCGTGCGATGTGAGGATATGCTGTTGTTCAGCACGTCGTTCCAGATAATATTCTGCTTACTGGCCAGAGGTTGCAGTTCCAATAACACTCGTAAATCCTTCCCCCTGTTCAAGGTATTGGGGTTCAAAGAAAGGCCGGGGACTGCGTAGACCTTCTGCTGCGTCTCTCTCCGTTTCTCTTGCTCAAGATCTTTTAGGCTGTGATAAAGGGAGCTGGCAGCTACAATCATCGCCATTTTAACTCAAACGCTACTGACATTATGAATAAAAAGTGCTAATAAAATTCTGTACAAATAGAGAAAAAAGTTTTCTTTCGAACTATGACTGTTTTCCTTAAAGGAATATAACAGTTTGCTTATAGCTTATCGCTAAAAAGGGTTAGAATTTAACAAAAATGGTAATAAGAAATTTAAAATGTTAATTCAAACGTTTTCGCTAATTCTGTGCATCAGGATTGGAATTTTTTTTACAATATTTACGAAACGATCAAAAATCTGAAAAATGAAAAACGTGCCTAAAAAGGCTCTAAAACTTTTTAATCAATCAAATTTGAATAAGGACGTTGTTTTTCCGGATTCCAGAATCCGGAAGGGTCTCGGGAGAGAACTTAAACATTTTTTAAACAAATTTTTAGCTTCCTGGAGATGTCCTGAATTGAATTAAAAACATCGAAATTCGTTTTCAGATTATGAGAAGCTAGGAGTTGAGGGAAAGGGTTGATCCATCTTCGATGTAGATGATGATTTTTATCTTCTGAACAAAAACAATAGTAATATGATATAAGTAGTAGCTCTGTTTTTAGGAGTGTTTTCTTGGTCTGGGTATACTGAGACCCAGCCATGCGCTCACTATTTTGCATATAATTAAATTAATTAGAGCGTTCTGATGGAAGCCGGAAACAGTAACGTTTTTTTTTGTCGACCCGATGTTAGAAAGACCACCAAAAGAACTGGCTTTAGCAGAGACGGTGAAAAGCATATAGAGCTGTGTTTAGACGCTAGCCAGTCGTTGTAGAACCTAGCTTTATTTTCCGTCGATATGTACTTCCGGGCGAATGTTACAATTATTTTTTATTTGTAACAGTTGTGTATTATTTTTTCTCGTGTCAAGCTGCGTGTTCTTAATGAAGAAACGTAACCCGTATCGATTTTATTTGTAAGGACATCAACACGCGTCATCTTCTTTTATCATTATTACTTCCATATCTAGAAAGTTCCAAGGATTTTGACTGGAATACGTAATGAAGGGACTCCTGACTGTAACCTCGGTTACTATGATACTTTGTATTCGGTTTGTATTCTTTAACCTTCTGATTACCCTCAAACTGCTAAGACTTTCAGCAAGAGATAAATGATATATGTTATCAAGTGAATGTCTAGGTTCGAGAAATAAGGAAAGATAAAGCCAACCAATATTCCACCGAGAACTTAAGGAAATCATTCAAACGGTGTAGGAAATATGACCGTAGAAGATATTAATGAAAGTTAGTCAATTATAAGCAGTATTTTTTTCTTATTGTTTTTTCCTGTTTAATGGACGATTTTAAACAACCGGTAAAATAAATTTTCAGATTTTGAACTGGTAATATTTGTGCAATGATTCCGCATCCTGGACCCAGTGGGAGTCCCAGTTACCTTGGTCCTCCGCTGGGACATATGGGTGGTCCGCCGATGGGAGGAATGGGGATGCCTCCACCTGGGCTTACCCCTCCAATGGACCATGGAGCCCTGACTCCCGATCACCCAGTAATGCAACCTCCTATGAGCATGACACCTAACGGACCCATGATACCAATGTATGGACCCGGCGGTATACCCTTAACTAATGCAGGTCAAATGACTGGCCCATCGCCATCATCAATGTCACCTCAGCAAATGGATGGAAGATTGAGTGGTCCCCCTCCGCAAATGCAACCGCATCCAGGAATGCCCCCTCACTTTCCAAGGCGAATTTCGTTCCCACCTGCTGATTTCAAAATCTATGAAATGTGCAGAAAGTTACAGCTTAAACCTGAGGTATGTAGAAGCATTTACGTAGTAAATCTCCGAATTTCTTTGATTTTCTCATTGCAAGTAAAGTTGAATTTGAAGAAGTATTTTATTTTTAGAACTGCGACAATATTTGGTGGGATCAGTTTGTATCGGAGTTTTTCGAAGATGATGCCACATATTCCCTGAACTTCTGTCTTGAAGATGGACCCAAGCGCTATTGTGAGTTTTGTCACTTCGTTTTGCTCTACTGCAGCCGTTGCAGTAGTTAAAAAAATTTCCATCGATTAAAACATTAATTTCATAAATTATTTCAGCTTTTGGTCGGCATCTCATACCGAGATATTTTCGTACCATGTTCGACAGTGGCGTAGCCCAACTCTGGTATATCCTGCGGAACCCCAAGCAAGATGTCATGCCCTCTGGTGCAACTGGAGGGGTGAGCATTATCTTAGACTGTGGAAACACTCTAATGTGTACATATCATGCCAAACCCAGTGCAGCACATGTTGCAACCGAAGGAAAACTATGCGTTGAGTTCGCAGCTTCACCCGGTGGTGATTACGGAAGCATGCGGGTCCGCCATTGGACGTTTACTCTCGGCGCATGTCACGAGTATTTGCTTCGTCAAGATCTGCAAGCAGTTACCAGAAATCCTTCCAACATGGTATGATTACTCACCGGCCGAGTTGAATTAAATGTTAAAACTATCGATCTATCTATCATATATTTAATTGCGGGCTTCACTATCTCGCCTTGTTTAAGCTTTTCCAACGTATTATTTTTTCATGTTTGACGAAAGAGTTTTTCAAGGTCTAAGCTATATCGCATATTGCAATGGTTTTTTATGATTTTTTCAAAAGTTTTCGAAACAGATGAATTTTACAAAATTGGATTTTCGCAACACTGTAGCTGGGTACTGCCAGGGTAGTCTCGGGTGTTGCAAATTTTTCCTGCGAATGTGAGCGCTGAAATCATTTCAGTTTCCAAGAAGATATTTTCAATATTCAAAAAAATCAAAAAAACTTTAAAAATAGTTCTAATTGTAATAATTAGAAATCTTCAAATTAACCCTTTTATGGGGTGATCTCAGTTTAGTCTCAGATATTGCAATTCTTTTCTCCAAGTTTGAGAGCTGAAATCATCTTAGTTTCCGAGATATGCTATTTTATGTATTTTCAAAATGTTTTAAAACTTTCTCTCATGAAGTTTATATCTGGACTTCAAATATGACTGCTCAACGCATTTCACTCTTCTAGCTATGACGTTTTTCTGATTCTTCAAAAGTAATAAATTTTTAGAAAAAAGTTTCGAAGTTTGAAATTATCGACTCATTAGTGGGTTGAAATCAGGTTAATACCATTAGTTCCGTATGTGGCCTTCATATATTATTGCTCAAACTTAAGTTTTCTAAAACATCGTTGTTAATCATATTTCAGAAGTTTTCTTTAAGCTACGAATTACACTAAAAAAACAATCTGATCTCTTCAAATTAAATAGGCTGGATGTATCTATTGATGGCAGCAAATAATATGTTCGGGCTAAGGAAAAGAGAATTAAGATAAACAAGAGTCTCATGAATGCAGTGAATTTGGCAATCAAATCGTTTAATATGGAAAACAGTTGTACGCTATCGGCCATTTTAGGGTTTTGTTTTTGAGTTCAAAAAACGGAGACCTGAAACCCAAAACCTTTATATGTATAATACGCAGTTTTCACGTTTATTTAACTGTTTGAAGCACCTTAGGTGGGTTACACGCTAGTTTGTTTTAAGTATATGCCATTTTCTATTTCAGAATACGACAGAACAGTTGAATAATTTATCAAAGAACATCACGAGATGCGGCTTAACAAACAATATTCTCAACTATTTAAGGGTAATTATAAAAGTCTATACCAGATATTGTCAAATGAATTTGAATAGGCGAAATAGCAGTCGATCTGATATTTTAGCTCTGCGTGATTTTGGAGCCAATGCAAGAGCTCATGTCGAGGCACAAAATTTTCGGGGCATCTCCGCGTGATTGCCTAAAGAATACATTATTCGAACGATTCCAAAGAACTATGGCCCCTCCGCATGGTCCACATAACCAACCACTGCTGCCTAGTGGTGCCATGCCACACGATAATCCACCATCTGGTTAGCTGGTTTTTCTATTCTCACATTGAAATAATCCAAATAATACAAGTAAAGACATGAAGAACACTTATTTTTTTTAGTTGCAGTCTCTGAAAGCAGTTCTCGTCCTACATCAAAAGCAAGAAGGAAAAGAAAAAATTCTAACGCTGCAGGCGGTTCTAGTGGAACGAGTTCTGCAAATACGAGTCCAGGAGCTGCAAATGGTCCGAACTCTACGCAAAACTCTGGTGGTTCCGCAAATTCAGAATCAGGAGGTAACTCTAGCAGTGGATCTGGTGGTGGCAGTTCTAGCAAAAAGAAGAGTAATTCAAATGCAGCAGCTAATCTTCCAAGTTCCGTGTCTCAAGCTTTCAATCCTTCAAATGTGGTACGTTCTCACCGTGCATGTAGAACAATGAATCAGCCCTCAATTTCAATAGAACTGATTCATTTTGAAGTTTGGTCAATTTGAATTTGTCAATTTTAGGACGTTCTTGTGGTTGGGGAACCTTCATTAATGGGCGGTGAGTTTGGAGACGAAGACGAAAGAAAAATAACTCGACTAGAAAACAGCACTACGCCCTCTACGACTGGGAGTTTTTCGAATACCTCCAATAAGTCTTGTAACTCCTCAAATACAGGTCCAGTAAGTAACCCAAATAGTACAGGGAACCCCATGATTCCCCCGCCGTCTCCATTACAGGGCTCAAATTCTAACCCAATCGTAAATAATCTCAACGGCGGAAGAGTTTCAAAGCTGATGAACGGCGGTCCTGGATCTCCGGCAACATCAATCGCTTCATCCCAGCAGATCTCCAATTTGAATTCCAACAAAATCAATGATCTGCCGCGACCCAATAGCACCTCTGCGCAGCAGCCTACGAATAGCACAGCTGCAATCACTAGCCTGAATATTGCGCCTTTAGTCAATGGAAACTTCCTTCATCGAAGTAACAGTTCCCCTCACACGCCTGTCAATGGAGGTCCCGGTATGAACCCGGGATCGGTAAAATCAGACGGAGTTCAAATAAAGTCGGAACCCAATTTAAGGAACCATTCGACTCCACCACCATCTGCAGCAGACAATGGACCTCAAACAGGTGGACGCTTCCAGAGTGTGATAGCCTCCCAGGGTAATGTGGAGAATTTGCCAATAAACGACCTGAGTAATAACAGCGCTTTGTTTAACAATAACCTCATGCCGAAACAAGAGAGGAAACCCCAGCAGACGCCTTCACCTCTCAGCAACACAAACGGAACTGGACCACTTCCCAACCAATCAGGACCTCTCAATTCCTCCGTGATGGGACATCCACCACCTGGCTCAAATATGAGCGCAGATGCCAGTTTCATGCCAAACCAGATGCCTCCTCACTCGACCAACATGCCCAGCGAGTTCAATCACTCCTTCTCAGATATCAAGGTCAGCTGACCCTTTTTAAATGTACTAGTTGTAAAGATATGCTTGAAAACGTTGTTTAGTTGACGGCATAAAATGTTCGTCTGAAACTTCTGATGCGCCTTGAGCATTCAATTTTTTGAAATTATGTGAAATTGATTTTTTAGAATCAGACTCCTCTCAGTGCTCTTCACAATAGCATGGAGATGAAGTTGGGAGGTCACCCCGCTGGTCACCATGGGCCCCATTTTGTGCCCTGGAGAGGAGGTCCACCGATGATGCCTGGAGGAGGGGGGCTTCCACCTGGCATGATTCCCCCTGGTATGTCAGGGGGTCCGATGAATCATCGCGCAGAACTCTTATCAAATCAAGCTGCGGCGCATGCTGCCATGAACGCTAACATTGCCAGTCCCGCCTTCTATCCTCTTCATCACAAGTGACATAAGCGATGACGCCACTCAAGAGAAACGTCACTATTACCATGTCTCTGTGAGAAGATGATTTATAACCTCACCATATATGGACTGATAGGAACGACTATATGGTGTCATAGATGGACAGCCATGAATGGATTTATTTCATCTATAGTTGATCGGCGATATGGAAAAGTCAGCAGAAATTACTACTCAAATCTCTACAAATCAAAAAAGCTACTACTGCAGAAATAGTTATCATTGGAAACCGCTTCCGGCCCCGACCCGACACAGAATGTATCAGTCACGTGACCAAAATCTTGTGCAAGAAAGTAGATGTCCTGAGTAAGAGATTGTCGATAGTCAAGACATGCACAGAATCCAAATCAACCAACAGACGATGCCCGACTAGTCAATAAATGCGCAATCCAATCCAATACGTTTTTAAACCTCAGTAGTGTTAGATTGACCTACAGAAAAAAAACTTGAAGAAAGTTTAGGTCAAACAACTGTTCAAATTGAATCTATCCATTGACTACTTTCACCAAACAATATCAGTTCGTTTCTTTACTCTGTGATTAGAAGTAGCGAAAATACACAATCTTTTAATTTTGGTTGAGTTTCAGCAATTCGAATCAACTTTCACTATTCTTCATTTCAAAACTTTTTAAGTCTTCTGTGAATCTATTTATTTTCTCGAGCTCTGCTGATTATTTTATAAATTTTCGTCAAATCTATTTTTGCATATTGTTGTCTCATCTTTTGTAAAAGAAACTATCATAAACTTATTGTGACATTTTGGGCGTCGATCAGATCAGATAAAGTTGGCATGAATTGGAACTTCGTCATTTGTGTGATTCTAAAGTGATTGTATTTCTTCAGTTGTTGGTTCAGTTCTGTCATTATGTTGTTAATTCGAATCCTTTCTTCTCGCCTCCATATAATTTGAAATTATATTTTTCTTCATTTGCCAATTTGTACATTTACTCTAACATTCTGATCTACCGTCAGAAGAACAGTTTCGATTAATTCAGTTCAGTTCGTTCACACTAGAGTTCACACGTTGATGTGAAGTGATATCTGTTCACGTCACGAACTTTTTACTCAGTCAGTTTCGGCGTTGTTTATTCTTTGAGCAGTTTGATCTGCTATTCTAGTTAATATTTAGTAATTAAGTTCAATGATCTTTTTTGTATTAAATTAATGAATATTAAAAATTACCACCTTTTCTACACAGTTAGGTAACAATCAAGGTAACAATCAGAACACATACTTTTCCGAAACTTAGAAAGGGCGCTAAGGAAAAATGACCTAAAATTGCCCCATCATCGCTAAGTTGATGCAGCAAAATATACGCCGAGTTGAGTATCAAAGTCATGTCAATAGCCCTAGAAAAAATTATGCCCATTTTTAAAAGTAACTTTGAAGTATACCAGATTTTCGTATATTTTTTCAGTCAATTTTCTATCAAAAGCATTCTAAAATAGATAACACTCGATATCTCAAGATTTAGCAGGAAGTTGTTCAATTCATACCGTGTCTAAAATTCATACAGTAGAATCAGTGTTTCAATGACAACTGTCCTTTAAAAAAGCAATACCAACAATGTCAAATTTCGATTCTATTTTAAATGCGTTTTTGATGTTTAAGAATGGCTTCTATATTTTATTCAACTGTTGGTTTAACACACCACAACAACGTGTTTCTATTACACCGCCGCTACTGCTGCAGTCAGTCTAAAATCCCGCCCTGACTAGATGCGATTTTTTTGTTCTGTTCCAGCAGTATTGTATTATTGTGATACAGTACACCACGCCACGTATACTGCTGCTATTCCATACCCCGTAAATATTTCCTTGCCGATTTCTCTTCTATTTTTCCACTCTCGCACTTTTATCCTCATCATACCTCGCTACTCGCTCTTTTTGCTAGCTAGCGACTGTAGGAAATAAAGAAAGAAGAAACACTTAAACTGAAGCTACAACACAATACCTGCTCTACAGTTCAGGTATACGATTCGAGCAGTAGAAGGAGGAGGAGGAGGAGGAGGAGGTCGATGCTATTGCATCTTGCGTTGTAGTATTTTTGTATTTTTATTTCGTCCAATTTTTTGTTGTTATTTAGCTTCTGTTCTGTTCTATTCTGCGGTGCTGGTACTGGAAAAGTGACTACTGTTCTGTTATGCTAGCTAGTAGTACTAGTACTTCTCTTACTGTATTGTACGGAGGGATTTGAACAAATATTGTGCGACTAACCAAGTCATGTCTGTAAAGAGAATTCACACCGCCGCCTATTGTTCACTCAAGGCGAAGGAAAAAAGAAGAAGCAAAGAGGCGGTGGTGGTGATATTGAACGTCATAATAGCAAGAGTAAAGACTGATGCGATGATAAATGCGCGATAAAAATTTCAAGTTCGAATTAAAATAATATGAAAAGTATTTCCGGTGCCATAAGTTTGAGTATCACATGGCATATCGCGTTCAATCGAGAAAAGAAAACAGTTATTATATTGTTTGTTTCAATTCCGTCACCGTTGCCTGGTCAATGAAATGAGTTTGAACATCAAAGAAGTATTTTTAATCCAAGATCGAAATGCATGCCCTCTTACAGTTTTCTGAAAAATGTCTGTCTGATTAAATGGGGCTTACGGTGTACCGATTTAAGATGGTCCCCCAGGCATCTCTTGTTGCTTCAGGCATCAACAAAATTTATGAGAAGACAAGAAGTATGGTCTAGCTTAGGATTTGCCTCGTTTTTTGTACATCGCGAGAGAGTTTTTTTAATATAAAGCGTTTTAAGGCATGCTTCGGATACTAGAAAAAAAATATCCAAATAAACGTCGGGTCGCTACTCCACGAAAAAATGTTGGAATCTGCTTTTCATAATGAGATAGTTGAAAAAGAGTTTCTTCCTTGCTTTTCAGATTGATATAGTTGAAAGTGAATTTCTTCCTTTCAAGTTTTTCTTCTAATGCTATTAGCAAGTGTTTATCAACGAAACGTTGAACAACGAAACGTTGTTTATCAACGTTTATCCAGCACGAAACGTTGAACAAGCACTTGTTTGAACAAACAAATTTCTGAATTGAAGCGTTTTTCGTAAATTTATTTGAATGAAAGCCAATTAACTGTAGCTTTGCCAGGCTGGCGTCGAGATAACGTTACTGCTTGACTGCTTAGACCCCCATTTGAAAGGTGGTTTAAATCCCAGCCTAAGATTTTGCAGTTTAATGTAATTTTTTTCAGATCTTTTGGAACAGTTTTGTTTGTTCTCTGTTTTACCCAGTAAAATTTCAATCTAACCCAAAACTTAGTCTATTTTGAACATTTTGAAAAAAATCAATAGTGAATTTTTTGTTTGTTGAGAATCTGCATATTTTTTCAGTATCCCTCTGGCTTTCGATTTAATTTTTCTCGATTGAATTGCCGAAAACTATATTCCAACTGCTCTAAGAAGTTTTCATAACGGCGAAGAAATTTTTAATATTTTAGTCATTTTTTTTTTTCGAAAATGCTAAGTGCGCTTTTAGCTATTTGACCTTGGTTTCACCTGAAGCTCGCTTTAATTTCATTTACTTTTTTCTAATGGATTTATTTTTCAAAAATTACTGGGTTTTTGAAAAGTATCAATGTCTGATAATTTATTCAGAATAACAATTTTTTCAGACAAACTAATATTTTGCAAGTGAAAACAGTGTTTCTCAAATGTTGGTTATTATTTGGTTTTGTACCCCCTTGCCAAATTATTTTGGCCTAGTTTTTATTGGTTTAGTGACCTAATTTTGGATCGTTTCAAGAAAAACACAGTTTTTACTCTCCCCACCGCACTGTATAAGTTGATTGTATTTGCACCACTCGGTTTTTTCTTCCTAATAGGTTTCGACTGGTTTCATATGGGCTTAGTAGCCTCTTTTTGCGTCGTTTGATTCGAGAAAAAAGTTTTTCTGTGCCTGTGTGTTATGATGGGAAGGGTGGTGTTTAGAAATGAAAACAAAAATTTGGCTTGAAGAGTTTCTGCTCAGGTATTTTCGACTTTGTCACTGCTTCGTTAACTTTGCTCCGATGCCGATTTCGCATTGTATTCTTTGAGCATGTTTTTGTCAGCTGTTTTCTTTCATTTCGATAGATTTAGTTGTATTGCAAGAGGCGTGAAGCTCAGCTTCGATAGTGTATAGTCTTCGATTCAGTTTTTGGCGGCTTATTGGCTCACTGTTTGGAAAGCTGGAGAAACGCCAGGTTCGCTTTCTGTAATTGTTTTCTCCGCGATAAACGAAATTCTAAAAACTGATGGTGTTTAAGTGCGCAAAAATTGATATTGTTGAAGTTTTTTTGGTTGTACCAAAAATGGGATAATTGAAATGATTTCTGACTCAGACAACCTGTCAATAAAAGTCTGCTGAAATATTTCGTTTTTCATGCTAAAAGTGTACATTTTTTGTATCCTTTTTTGCTGACTATATACGCTGTTCACAGTTGTGAGCCAACAGTTTGTCGAGAAAACGACTTAAACCGCGACAAATTTTAATTCTTCATTGTTCCGACTTTCGAGGAAAAAATAGTATTAATGCTTGGGATGGTTTTTTATTCATTCAATTTATGTTTTTTTTTAATCAAAGACTAAGTGACTTTTTTGCAGAGTTTTTATTCAATCTGAAAGCTATTGATCTCCGGAATTCAAATTTAAATAAAGTTATTTGAGATCAGTTTTGGTGAAATATTATCGGGTTTGAAAATTGCTAATTCGGATAACTTGGGATAATTAACGCACGAAATATTGCGGTCTTCTAATGCGCGTTAGCGGCAGATTACATCGTTCCAAATTGAATTTAGCCAAGAATTTTGGTTTTTTACTAGGATTCGAAAGTTATTTTATATATATATATATTTTAATTTTCAAGCAAAACTTTTCAATTGGCCTGAAAATGCAGTCAGAACATTTAGGGCTTAGCCTTTTTGTATGTTTTGGAATCAAGTACATTCACGAGACATAAAATTTGCAATTTTTCGTTTTCAAGCGATGAATCGAACGAAATTTTCACGTTTTGCCCTTTTTTCAACTTTTACAGATTCATGCTTGAAGTTTTGACACGTGATAGAGGAAACCTTTTTTTGGAGTTTAGCCGGAGAAGACAGTAAAAACCGGAGAATATAGCCGAAAAAAACGCCAGAAGCTGTTTTAAAGGCGTCATTTTGCCATTTAAGTAGAGGGCGTCAGAGAGTTTTTCTCAGTGCCAAAAAGTCCTAGCAAACAGCTGAAGCAGTTTGAAACTTGGGACTCAAATGTTTTCGTTGGAGCGCTTGTCTTATTTCATCTTACTTAAAAAGGAATACAATAAATCATGAGCTACGAAATAAAAATTAAGTTTAATTTTTATTATTTTAACTAAATAAATTGCTAAAATTTCAGTTAAGTTCTCTCAATGAGACTAACAAAGCTTTTAAGAAGAAAAAAAATTATCCAACGTTTCAAATTGCTTTTGCTGTTTGCTGAAAATTGTTGGCGCTGAGAGCACCTCTCTGCACCCTGCACTTAAATGGCGAAACGTTGCTTCTTACGGTTTCTGATCCGGCTTTGATCTAAAAATTTTTTGTATAAATCACATTTCAAAATTTTAACTATTTCCAGTAGATGAGAGAAAACGACAGGAACGTGAAAAAATTTTCATTCAATTCATCGCTTGAAAACAAAAAGTTGCAACCTCGATGTCCCGTGACTATAGATTAAGGGGGCAAAGACTGTTTCGTGCGCTGTATATCACTCGTGCCGAATGTATGTACAACAGAGTTGAGCAAGAATTCACGATTTGCTACTGCTGCGTTAGAATGAAATTCCCGCTCAGTTTGTACTCGTTGTTGCAAATTTTTGCCCATTTAGGATAGCTTGAAAAATATGGAAAATTAAGGTTCTCCATCAGAGAAATTTTTGGGCCACGCGAATCTGAATGCATCTCTTCTATTAACTATTAACTAGTTGGTATAAACAAAGTTTGGTTTATTCTTCAGCGCTTTAGCAGTAATTAAAAACGGCTAAATTTTATTGACTCTCTGAAATATTTTTATTTCAAAATCGGTCGAGCTCTTAATTTGAGTATAAAATGCAGAAGTTCTCGATTTCCGGGAGATTATTCTCGAAATGTGCTCTTTGTGCGTCACTTGATCCCATCGGACGTTTCACGCACTTGTTTGCTGTAAAAACTAGCTGAGAAAATAACCTTTAATTTAGATAGCAAAAAATGTTTGGCTTTGTAATAAAACCAATTACCGCTGGAAGCGAAAGATCACAGGCCCATGTTTTTTTTGAGTTGTTAAAGTATTTTAAGGGTAGAAAGGCGCTTTTTTGTTGCCAAAAGTTAAGAAATATTTTTTCGTCTATCACAATACTGGCAAAACGGACAACTTTGTTTCACGCAAACTTGAGATTTTTTTTTGTGATTGGGTTGTATAGCCGCTCGTTTAAAAATCCGATGATTGTTCATTAATTATATTTAGATCTTTATTTCTCTATTACTCTTGAACTTGTTCGAACTGTTTTGTTCGTACTCCTTCTGTAACCGATGTATTTGTATTATATTATGGTAGCCTTGCGACCAGCCAGCGTAGCAAACTCGCTATATAACTTAGTTGGTGTGATAGAGCTGGAATTTTATTTGATCATCATCGCCTTTTCAGCATACGCATACTACATAGAAATTAAATGTGTTATATGCACATCAGATCTTGATTGGATACAATATAGAGTCACGAATGCGCTGGTTCATTTTTTTCTACTAGTAGAAGTATAGTATTCTGTTGTTCCGTGGCGCTATGTTGAGGTCTAATATGTAGATTATTCATTCCTTAGTCTTCTTTCACTGTGGTATTTTCTTTTGCTTTTCTATCTGCTATTTGCTACTAGAAGTTATATCATTCCTCTGTTCCATAATTTCGTGTTGCTAGCTCAGCTCAGATCTAAACTCTTTAGTTCAGCTGAATGAATGAAAGCTAGTGCGACTAGTATACCGCACAGGACCATCGCTTCGCGTTGCTCAATTCATAAACAACCGCCGACTGTACTATTGCTGTGCTGGTAGTAAAAGTAATACAGAAGTAAAGCTTTGTTGAGTTACAGCAGTGGCGGTGCGGTGGTGTTGTAGCGGTGGCGGAGAAAACAACACAAGTAACTGAATAAGAGAGCAAACGAAAGATTGGAAGTAGAATAGAACAGAACAGTAGAATAGAAAATAGTAGAGTTGAGTATCAGATAGAGCCATTACTACAACAGCCACAAGAAAAAGAAAAGAGAAAGAGCGACGACCAACTACACAAGTCAAGCTTGCTACTGAATCAGATAATTTTTGATGTTCTGCCTCAGCGCTGAGATAGTTAGTCTTCCTTCCACAGCTAATATTTTTGAATCTCTCTGCTCATCAACACCTACCAGTTGTAACTGATGGATAATGTCAGGTCACGACACGCCCTAAAACTATGATCGTGATTGATAAT